ATCTCAAAAACTGTCCGAAGAAGGCGGTGTTAAGAATTTTAAACAATTCGTATATCCTGATCGCAACACGAGAAACAGGCCAGCCGCCATCAGCCGCCCCGGATCATGACAAGCGAAAGAAAATTTCGGGCGCCCGACGCAGGGTCCGGTGATGTTGTGGGTCCTTTTGTGGTCACAGGGGGGAACCAGGGGGACAAAGCAGCCCGCAAACAGTGGCCACCACCAGGAAGAGGGGGCCGATCCCGCGATTCGATGGGAATCATGAGCAAAAAAAAGTTGAGAACTTTTAAATAAGGAAAACTTGGGAGGAAGGAGCGTATCGCGACGTGACTTACCGAAAAACCTTTCGAAGGATTTTTTAAAAGCAAAAACATAAAGTATATCGAAATTCATATAGATCCATATAAAATAATTATAGGATAGAAAATAAAATAAAATAAAATCATATTTTGATCTTTAAAAATTGCTCCTTATCTGTTTTAAACTAATTTTTCTGCAGCCGGAAGACGATTAAAGGGCTGGTCAAAGCAGGATGACGCGACTAAAGCCTTGAGCCGCAACGCGTACGGCCGATACGTGACGCGACACGCAACGCGTGATCGGTTTGTCCTTCCATTCCATCAAATTAATATCTGTTAAATCGGTTATATAGCACTCGACGTGCGCGTTGCGTCTCGCGGCGCGGAAAAATTCAAAATCCATGGCCGTGCCATTCTCGTCCCATTAAAAACTCTAGGAAGTCTGAAAAACTTCTGTGAAAGCGAGGAGAAGATTATTTATTATCAAGATTACGACGGTCGTAAGAATTGTTTGTTTTCCAAATTTGTTTTCTAAAAACTAAGGAATTCCAAAACCACAGAAATCCAAAAATCCGCTCCCGTTTTGTTGTAGAAGGCCGACTTTTTTGGCGGCCCGGGAGTCGCGCACGGGGCGGCGGGATCAAACAAAAAGTGCGCAAAGGCCGGCGGGTGGTGGATCCAATTCAAATAGATCACGGGCGAGGTGGTGGGGTGGCCGTGGAGGTGACACACGCGGCACACTGTCCGGATCCGCGTCCTCACCTCTCTTTCTCTAGAGGTGGTGGAAGCTAGGGCTGGTATCAATGCACCGGAAAGCGGGGCGATTGTTGGTCGCAACAGGGACCGGTAGTGCGGTGAGCTGAAAGCCGGGGCCAGGGCCCCTACTGTTCCATGAAGCTTTTGAGGTCTGGGGCTGATTTGCGGAACCGCAAAACTTGTGGGGTTCTAAAATCAAAAAGGGTAAAAGTAACAGAAAAACCTGTATTTTGGTTTTGGCGTTGAAACGGAAACTAAGAAAATTAAACGGAACCGTGGTCCAGAAAACTCGAAAAAGTAAGGTATCTAACGCGGTAAAGTTGATATCGTATCAGCGTATCAGCGAATTTTACGTCTTTTTCCTGAATTTCCATGCGTTCATGAGTCGCAATGCGCATTAAAGAAATATGACATATTGCGGATCGGGGAAGAATTACCGTACATCTATGGGTTGTTCTGATTAAATGAGCCGCCTCATATGCCCTACAAAATTTATTTGAGCATCGCAAAACCTTGGGGAAAACGCATTAATGGGAGGGCATCAGAAAACCGCCCCCGAAAATCTCATGGAACTGAAAAACAAACAAAAATCTGAGGAGAGAGAGAGGAAAGAGAGAGAGACACAGAGAGAGAGAGGGAGGGAGGGAGAGAGAGAGGAGAGAGAGAGAGAGGCGGACGATATTTAAGGGGGCATGCCAGGAAAACCTCGTTTTGGAGGAAAGCGCATTAATATTAGGCGGTTTGGTGCGGATGGATCAGCTACCCTTCCCGCACAACAAAAAATTGGTTCATTGGTTATCGCCTTCCGGCTTCCCGCCCGGCTCTCATTAGTGCTCTGGGAGGACGGATTGCTGTTCCTAAAACCTTCAAAATCCGGCGAATAAGTAGGAATAAGGCTAGAGCATGGATTACCACGGGTCTGACCTCGTTAAAGGACGCGTTCCATCACATATCGTATCGTATACCAAACTAACTGTTTTTCCCCTAAGCACAAAGTTCTAAAACACGGTTCCGCACATTCCACACGCAACAAAGAATGATTCTAGTGTGCGGGCGCCCCTACGGTTGCGCACGTCTCGTCAAACATGGACTCTCTGCGTTTTTCACCCAAAAGCACCCCCGGGGCCCGACAAATCCGTCGCCTTTTCCCCCCTGGATCGACGAGACCGAAATGTTTGCCTCGGGAGCACCCAAAAAGACCAACAACAGTCACTTGGGTGCTTTGGCTGACTCATTAGAAAACCCGAAAATTTTAGCTGACAGCGACCAGGTAATGGGAGTTTTGGCGCGTTTCGCAAGCAAGAGCTTTGGGCGGGAGTCTGAGGTCTGAGGAGTGATCTTGAAATCGCATTCCGGAAACAGGTGGCTGGGAGGAGCTTGGGGGGGTCAAGGTTTTGGATGGGATTTTTAGGAGATTGCAGGAGATTTTTGCAGGCCTAGCTGATTCACGAGCAATTTTTCTCGAGGTTTTACAAATTCCTTCTTAAATTAATTGTTTTTGGGTTTGCAAATCCAAAAAAATTTGAAAACGATTAGGAAAAAACTTGGAAAAGCCAAAATCTCACGAATTTGATAGAAAATTCGGGTAAAAATTTCGTAGTTTTACAATTATTAGAGCTAGATGAATTCTTTCTGATAGTTTAGAAAATCGTACATTTACAAAACAATAGTTACATGAATACGAATACGCGCGGAAGACCGGAAGGGAACGGAACAGTTTGTAAATTCTAGCAAACAAAATTATTCGGCAAGCTGTATACAAAACTATTTATAAATAATTTCGAAAAGTAACTTCAAAACTATTTAACTTAAGGAAATTCGTAAACGTCACCCTCAAAATCAGGTTAAACAAGCTTTTCGCGAGCGTTTGTTAGTGGAGAATCCTTCGGAAAGCACGGCTGATGGATGGATTATCGAAAATTCTTGCGACTACCAGCTCCCGGCTGCTCTATCAGGAGCAGTCCTGAGGCTAGCTGAGTGAGGAGGAGGAGGAGAAGGAGCTGGTTCTTCCCGCCCTCTTCTTTCCCCTCCCCACCCTCGCATTCCCACCAGATTTGCATTGACCGCGGCGGCGGGGGATGTCCAGACGCAGACGCTCTTTTCGGGCCTCGCTCAAGATAGCTTGATTTTTGGGGCTTGAGGCAGATGGAATCTTTGAAGTGAAGAATGAGGAAGTTTTAGAAGCAAAAATTTGTGAAATCGTCCTCCAAAGATTGATTTTGTTGAAAGGGGGGCCACAGGTATTCAAGTTCAAACCGTACCCTGGAACCTAAATGCTAAAAAAATCGGGATTTGCTCAATACAATTTTTCGTTTCCATTTTCAGTTTTTAGGTCATAAATCAAGAAAATCCTTTTCTTGTTTCAGGCTTTCAAAGTTTTTGCGCGAGAGAGGCAGATAGAGGGCGAGAGATATCGAGAGAGCGAGGGAGAAATGGAAAATACCAGAAAGGTAAAAAATTCTTAACGGGATTAGCTAGGCGAAACCTGATAGGAAAAAGCGCGCTTCTTAAGCCTTTTTTTTAAATCGCAGACAATTTGAGGCAAAACAAGTCTTCAGTAAACCCAAAATCCTTCTAAATCGTCTAAAGAAAACGTTCCCAGTGTGATATCACATCTATTCCTGTTTATTTGCATGCTTTTTGTGACAAAAAAACTTGTCTGGTCCTTGTATCAGACCCGCGACTATTGTGAACCATTTGTAAGGCTGAACCCCCCGTCTTTTTATGGCACTAAATCAACAACGGTTCGTGAGTCAGCCATGCGATCGGAGCCATTATAGCACAGGAATGAATGCGACAGACAACCTGATAACCAAAATAAACAAGATACAGCGCAACAAAGGCTGTTACAAAACTCTTTCTTATAAAAATGGAAAGATAAAAATTAACCAAAAATCTGTGATTAGAAAAAATATAAAGATGTACTGCAACTGACCCAAAATTTATTTTTTTGGGAAGACTATGAAAACCAAAATAAAAAAGGTCGATAGCAACACAAAAATCGTAGCCAAAAATGGTGATCTTTTCGAAGAAGGGCTTTTCCGAGCGGGGAACGTGTGTGAGTGGCAGCCCATCAAAATGCCCCCCAGGGCACGCCGGAAGTTCAGAAAAATGGGTGGTGCTTTTGGAGGATGGGGGAGGAGGACATCGATCCCCAGACCACCCACCCCCAACGGGGTCAACAACAAAACAAAGGAAAGCCAATAAAGTTTATGAGCCAGAGCTGTCGTCCTCAAAACTCGTCTTATTTTTCAAATCGGAACGTTACGGAAATGCAAATGGCGCAGTTTTAGGGATCGGAGAATGGGATATCGCAAATTGCTGAACGTCCAATACGTTGGGTTTTCAGGTGGGAAAATGCCTAGAGCATCTACTTTTTTCAAATCTAAAAATTTAAAGGTTTCTAAGCGAGCTCAAGGGTTGCTTGAAAGGCTAAGATAAAGTCGAAAGGGCCTCAAAAGTCGTGGAAACATGAAACATCGAAATAGGCCTGTATCTCAAAATATCGGGATTTTTAGAAAGGCTTCTTTAACACGCCATTTTGCCGGTTTCACAAACGACCATGTTCCCGATTTTTTAAACAAAATGTTTGATTCAACGAGCTGGGATTATTTTCCACCTCCAAAGACTTCGAAGGTTGGGTTGTTCGAACACTTGGTCTGGGGCTCTTCCCGCTACGCAACCCACCACTTGCAAAAATCATCTCACGACCCCCACAGTTTTCCCTGGCCTTGTCGACCCGTCCAGACATGAGTTGGATGTGTCTATCAGCACAGATCAGGGAAAGCGTTTCGAAAAAACAAGAGAAAAATTTGGTGCTCATCGCCCCCACATTTGGATTGATGGCCCCATCCCGAGCGAGATCCGCGCGGCTATCGAACGGGCGTGCCGCGCGCACACCGCAACCCAGTTAATTTTTAACGGTTACTCCGAGTTTGTCTCGATATGCCGGAGGAGGTGGTACGTTTTAAGACATTATTTTTCATTTCACACCTTAAAAATAGCTATACTTCCTGAGCTGCAAACGATTAACGAAAGAATTAAAATTTGCGAGATTTTCCCACGTTTCCGGAAGTATTTTCGGTAGTAATCTTAAAGAAGCGTGGCGCTGCTTGTAAGTTTTTAATAGGTTATAATAGTTTTTAATTTTAAAGATTCCAATAAAGGAATTGTGCTTTCCTTACAAAATCAATTAATATCGTTTGATTTTAGACCGCTGCCGAGCCAAAGAAACCAGCTTTATTTTCCATACATTCTCAAAGATTACGGGTATGCATTCTGATGATGCTCTCCGGAGCTATTGCTCAATGTATGAGGCTGAATTTGAGCATGGGACTGCCGTGTATGGTAAGTTAAGCGGAGAAATTTATTATGGTGTTCCAAGACAACGTTTTATGCGATAGATTTTCGCCACTTTCGCTAAATAATTGGGTGCTTTTTTTTCAGATCAACGCCACTCTATCACATGAGCTTTATAACACTACCTTAAACGAGGAGAATACGGTATGCTATCCTCAAAAATCATAAGGTTTTCCGCTCCTTAAGGGTACACTCGACTGGAGCCCCCAGCAAAAATCGGCCATCCTGTCGGCTTCTTCCTGGGGATCGCTGATTGCCACGTTATTGGCCGGATATGTTTCGGATAAATTTCAGCCGAAAATTGTCATTACATGTAGGTAAAACCATACTTTATTCCTAGTATTCATGATTTTTAAATTCTCTATAAAACGCGATTTAGTGGGCGTCCTCGGGATGGCCATCATGACCGCGTTGGGGCCGCTTTTTGCTAATATTTCCTATTACCTATTCTTTGCCTCCAGGACTATTCAAGGAATTTCTGGGGTATGTTTTTTGGCAGCTCTTATCCGCTGCATAATATCAAATATAAAATAAAGAACTGGTTTAAAAAATTAGGCAATTCAATTCCAAGATTTAGGGCTTCATCTTCCCCGCCGGAAGTGCGATGGCCAGTCGCTGGTATCCGACTACGGAACGCTCCACGCTGGCGTCAATTTACAGTGTTGGGAGTACGGTAGGTAGAGCGTTTTATGGAAAATATAGATCGTTATAGCTCGGCTCCTCTGTTACGCCATTAATCGTTGCTCTATTATGCACCTCTTTCCTCGGCTGGTCTTCTTTGTTCTACGTTTTTGGTGGGTGAAACTGCCAAAATTTACTGGAGGATGTAGTTAGAGGCAAATCGTAGAGAAAATGCGACTTTTTTGCAGCAATTGCCGGTCTGGTTTTCGTGCTTTTCTGGGTGTACGTCGTGTCGAACCACCCATCATCCAATCGACTGATCTCCGACGAAGAGCGGGAGTACCTCGAGCGAGAGATCAGCTTTTCGGGACGTCATGGCAAGGGGCATGAGAAGGTCAGCGGTTTCTGACCGTCTTTCCGGATTTATAGCCTCGTGGAGAAATGGCCGGAGTTGTGGAACGAAAAATTCAAACATTTCATCAAAATAGGAATTATTATCTAAGTCTGGGAAAATTCTAAATCCCAATTTTCGATTCATTTTTCGGAAATGGAGGCGTAATCTTCAATTCGAAAAAATTACAAACGTTTATGAGCTTAAAATTTACATTCCAAAAAGCTACATTCTAAGGTTAGTTCGGACATGAATTTCTTAAAGATCGTGATGAGAAGGGCTATTTTCATGAATCCCATAATCAATTTGATTTAATAACTGTTAGCATCAAAAAAAGTATAGCTATTTAAATTTGATAGATTGAAAAAAGAAAAAAAATATTTATATGAACGTTTTTAAGGGTGCCGATAACTTCCCATGGACAAAACTCCTATTTTCACCACCCCTGCTGGCCAACTACACGTGCCAATTCTCATATCAATTTGCCCAGACGGCAATGCAACAATTCTTGCCGCTGTTTTTGAATGATCATCTGGGATTCTCGATCACAAAGGTTAGCAAAAAAAACTATCTTAATTCCCATAAAAACGAAACATCTATAGAACGGTCTCTACACCACACTCCCCTTTACGCTCAACGTTTTTTTCGGGCTATTCTGGGGCCGAGTAGCTGATCTTCTCAAGGAAAAGAAGCTAATGACACCAACGATGGCTGCAAAAGTTTTTCAGGCTATCGGTAAGCTTCAAAATTAAAGGTTAACCGTGTTTTTAGATTGTTTTGGAAGTGCTTTCGCGATAGCCCTCATCGCCATCATTCCAACTGTCGAAAACCCGAACTCCGCCCTGATCTTTCTGTTGATATTCGGTATCGAATTGTCTTGCTGAATTAATTTTGGAGCGTAGGCGTCACTTTCCCGGCGGGCGTCAGCGGCTACTTCACGTCATTGATTTCGATTTGCCCTCAATATTCGGGGACGGTAATGTCAATCTCGAGGTATCGGAGGGTAGAAGCTGAAAAATAGAATTTTTAGAGGATGGGGTTTGGTTTCGCATATGGGGACGCCGTGGATGATGACGTTGTTTAATTATTGGGTATGTAGAGCTATCCAAAATTTCTCTATATCTCTCTCTCTCTCCCTATCTCGGCGCTCTCGCCTCATTTTCATTGTTCTAGTATTTTCCAGGGTCTCAAACAAAAATGGATCATCCTCTACGGCCTCGCCGCGGTCTTCCAGCTCATCTCCGGCATCTTGTTCACCATCTACGGCGATTGTGAGGAAGTTCCGAAATGTGTCGCGAAGAAATGGTGATTCGCCCACGACGACTACGGCCTGCTCCCATTTTTCCACTTTCGCAATTTGCATTTTTCCTTAGTTCCCAAAAACCCAAGCTAAGGAGCTAACTGTAACCGTAGGCGCCATTTCTTCGTTGCCACATTTGTCAGCCAAAAACCGCGAGAATTTTTAGGCGAGGTGCAATCGTGGGCGAGAAAGGTGGAACCGCGAAAGGAGGACCCGGAAAATGTGCCTGAGGAGACGAAAATTGACTAGAAAAATTGAATAAAGAAATGAAATTTGATACTTTACGTCACGACCAGATATTCGACGCTAGCTGGGGGATTTAATTAAATTATGCAGATTTTTTTGGGCTGAAGGGTGAGAAGGAGCAAGAGAGAGCGAGAGAGCGGGGAAAAGAAAGATAGCGAGAGCGAACGAGAGAGAGAAAGAGAGAGAGAGAGCGAGAAAAAAGGAAAGAGAGGACGAGAAAGGGAGAGAGAGAGAAAGAGAGAGATAGCAAAAGGGAGATAGAGAGGGACGGATAACACGTTTACCCAGGAAAATTAATGAGGCTTGAAATTAGGTAATTTTCGAGGATATCGTTGCCTTTGGAAGCCAAAGAAATTATGGATTTTTGGCTTTGTTATCTATTCTTAATACAGAGCAATTGATTTTCTATAGCTTAAGCCGAGACTTTTTTGTTATATGAGTTTGTATACTCAAATTTTAAAGCTTAAGAAACCGTTTCATATCTTAAACCTTTACCCAGACGCGTCAAAATTATTACTTAGAAAAAGAAGTCAATTCTTTGAGTGCGTAACATTTCGCAGATTCAATTTTGCCAATACCGGACTCTGCTGGATTGTTTTAACTTTTATAAACCCTCTTTTTGGAGTTACGTTATAGATTTTTGACTCAGCAAAACGCAAATTTCAACAAAACGTCCATTCGGACCTACAGGGGCAGTTATTTCGCAAAAAAAACGCTCTTATGCGTTTCCAATAACATATGAAATCGAGCACCCGGGCCCCGAATAAAATATTCCAGTCCTGTTTAATTCCGTGCGGCGGCGAACGGGGATGAGGGCGATCGGACCGGAGGGATCCTCACTAATTCTGATGCCGCACACGCAGAGACCGCGGTTGTTTTCGCTGCATTCGCAGCGACTTCGAGTTTGCCTTCTGCTGATGGCCGCCGGGGCGATCGCGCAGTGTATGCGGGTCAATTTGAGCATGGGAATGCCGTGTATGGTAAGGAGCTTGTCGCCTTTGGTTGATCGCGTTTCTAAAAAAAATTTCCACACGGCATCGTCGAAAAAACCCTGTATTTAAAATACCGACAATTCACAACGTCGGCAAACTAAATCCCAAGCATCAAAATCCTACATTAAAAATCCATAATTGTGCCAATTGACATAAAAATTCAGTCCTTTCAAGTTTTTCTTGATTCGTTTAAAATTTTCTGGATTTGAAAGTTTTCGTCAAATTACTTGTTTAGATGAACGCGACGACGTCGCCGAGGAGTTCAAATACCTCTCACATCACTTCAGAGGTACGTAATATACCTATGAAAAAGTATCAATCATGGTTTAGGGCGTCTGGAACTGGACCTCGCAACAAAGATCCGCGATCTTTTCCGCTTCTTGGGGCGCGCTGATCTCAACATTAATTGCAGGATTTGTCGCTGATCGCTGCCGGCCGAAACTCGTGATCAGTTGTACGTCGCATTTTGTATTTTTTGGGAGTTCGACACTCTTTTAGTAGCTCTTTTCTTCGTCAGCCTAACAACTTCGCTAAGCCCCTATATGCTTGGCTTTGGATATTATGCATTCTTCGTCACGCGAACATTACTGGAATTCTCTGGGGTACGGTAGAACGGTTTAGTTTCAGCCGATTCTTAGGGCTTCATCTTCCCGGCGAGTAGTTCTATCGCTAGTAGGTGGTTTCCGCCTACAGAGCGCTCGACCTTGGCCTCGGTTTATAGCATGGGGAGTACGGTAGGGTAGATGTGGTCTAAAAATCCTAAAAATGAGGTTTAGCTAGGATCCTCAATAACTCCACTAATCGTGGCAGGGCTCTGTACATCGCCGTTCGGATGGGAATCATTGTTTTATGTTTTTGGTACGTTGATGAGACAAGAGAGAGGGGTGAGAGAGAGCGAGAGAGAGGGAGAGAGAGAGGGGGAGAGAAAGCGAGAGAGGACCAGAACAAAAGACATAATAAAATTTTGTACGAACTGAATCCCTTACAGCAATCGTCGGCTTTCTCTTCCAAATCCCTTGGACCATCGTCGTCACAAATAAACCCTCGAAAAATAGGCATATTTCCGAGGTCGAAAGGAAATACCTCGAAAGCGAGCTCCATTTCGGACCGCTAGAAGAAGAGGATGACGACGATGAGGTAGGCGAAGACCAAGACTACAAACTACAAACTGAAGGAACTCCCCGAATTCCCTTGGAAACGGCTGCTCTTCTCTGCGCCACTGCTAGCCAATTACGCATGTGAATTTTCATATCAATTCACCCAGGCCGCAACACAACATTATTTACCAAGCTTTTTCAGTGAGAAGCTGGGATTTACGATTGGACAGGTGAGGAATGCGTTTGGTTCTTTTTATGGCGAAATTAAGAACGGATTGTACACAACATTACCATTTACACTCAACGTATTGTTCGGGATATTATGGGGCGGGATGGCCGATTATTTGAAGGAGAACAAGGTTATGACGAATACAGGAGCTACGAAGATGTTTCAAGCTATAGGTAGGTTGTGCCATGTAATTGATTAAAGGGACGGACAAGTCATAGTTATGGATTCTGTGGGTTATGGTGTTTGAAGGGCATGTTCAGGGACGTTTTTGGCAAGAAAGCAAAGATTTTTGCCGCGGCCGGGTGTCGAACCCGGACCCCCCGTTCGGGAGCCGCGGACGCATACCAGTCAGCCATAGGTGCAACCTGGCGAGAGGTCGCCGGGCGCCCCACCCGGAAAGGAAGGGAATTGCCTCTCACGACACGGGCAGGCTGCGCGCGCGGTCCCTACGTCCATAGGGTGTAGACGTTGGGCCGAGTACACGGCCACTCCCTGAACGTGCGCTTGAAAATATTTTTTGCATACGCGACACGGAAGCGCGCGCACATCGCCCCGCCTGATAGAGAGTGGACGTAATCGATTTCGCAATCCGTAGGGAATCGACAGACAATAAAATCCGTAACTTGGCTTGTCCGTCCCTTTAATGTTTTCATGGAAAGCAACCCCCTTTGAGAGTTCCTTACATGTATTTCTATGTTCTTTTTCAGACGGCTTTGGTAGCGGGATATCCCTCATCCTACTTACTGTAATCCCATCGGTAGAGGATTCAAGAACAGCACTTATATTTTTGCTTTTATTTGGTTTGTATTTTTAATCGATTTTTCGATTTATACATTACTTTAGGCTTGACGTTCCCGGCCGGTGTCAGCGGCTACTTCACCTCCATGATCTCGATTTGTCCACAGTATGCGGGGAGTGTCATCTCGATCTCACGGTATGGTGATTTTATGAAATATTCCAATGTTTAGGGGTTATGGTGTGATCGGCTGTATGATAACGCCTTGGGTGCTGACATTTTTTGAGCATTTGGTAGGTATTTCAGGGAAAACGAGAATGTATGGTAATTCTAGGGTTTTGAGCACAAATGGTTTTATTTCTATGGCCTAGCCGCGTGCTTTCAAATAGTTTCCGGATTTTTGTTTTTGGTTTATGGCACAAGCGAGGAGTTTCCGGAGTGTAGAGAACGTAGGAGGTATGTTTTCTCTCTCTCCATCCCCACTCTCTCTCTTCTCTGTCTCTCTTTCTCTCGTTCACTGTGTCGCTTTGACCTGTGAAGAAAAAAAGCCGATCTTTAGTTCCAATCCACGACGTGAAGAAATGAGCATCAACTCCACCAAGCTCACCACCCTCTCTGCCTAGTATTTTTGATCTTTCTGAACCTGACATTTGAATTCACATGTTTGGAATAAACGCCTGGAATATCGCACGTGTTTTTGTGATAAAAAAATGACGAAAAAGTGTACCAAACCTCACACTTCCCCCTGCAACGATATGCAAAGCGGTGGGGTGGACGGCGGGTCAGCGGATGACTCGTCCGCCCGGCAACTATCCACGACCGGGCAGCTACTAGATTCTGAGATGCAATCTGTCGCCACGGCAGTGTCACCTACTCATTCTTCTGAGGCGTCAGAAGACAGGACACCTCACGTCGGCTTATTCTCGATCCACTCGCATCGCCTTCGGATATGTCTTCTGTTGATGCTCGGGCTCTACGCGATGGCGTCGATGAGGATTGGTTTGGGCATGGCGGTGACTTGCATGGTGAGTATAGAAACTTTGGTACTGGACTGTTAACGGAGAGGGGGACATTTCAACTTTCCCAGTGTTTTTTTTACGATATAAAGTAATATAAACCATTTTTTCAAAATTGATTATTTGGCTCCTATTCCTCTGCTTTTGATCTCAGCCCCGATCTAGGCGCTACCAAAGTTACGGCCCTATTGTACCTGCTTTCAGGTCAATACAACAGCCTTCGAGACCCCAATCGACTCGAACTCAAGCGTTTCACCTGGCCCGATCTCAAACCCAAAATGCAGCCAGCACCTCGATACTGCAGAGGATTCGGGATACAGAGTAGCTTACGGTATCTGCAAAAATAACAAACTCTTAGGGAACGCTGCTATGGAGCCCGGCTTCTCGAAGTCTGCTCTTTTCCGCAGCTTTCTATGGTGCACTGGTGACGACGCTGGTCTCTGGCTATTTGGCTGATCATTTTGGGCCCAAGCTGTTAGCGGGAGGTTCTGTTCTATTTCGCGTGGGGAAAAACTTGTGCGGGGGGGAATTTTCTTCTTTTTTTATAACTCTTTCTATATGATGCTATTTTGGGTTGTCAATAAAACTCTTAGTATATTTTTTGACGCTCTATCGAATGGCATTAAAGAAATTTTCGAAAGTTATTGAAAATGTCGAAAACTAGCTTTCGACTCCACGATCCCATGTGGAAACACCGAATAAACCTTCTTTTTGCTATAACTATTTTATAAAACAATATTTTTAGAAGAAATTAAAACTCTTAGTATATTTTTTGGTAAGACTCTAGTTTACCCCCCCCCAGCCCTAACTTTTCAGCCATACGTCCTATTAATGCGCGGAGTATCTCAAAATGTTCCACGTGGTCGAATTACTATAAAAAAATTGTTTTCTTGCGGCAAAAATTGCTAGAAATTTTTTTACAAGATTTTGAAAGTTGAAAAGATTAAGCCGCTGTGCTTCAATGTACCAGGAGCCTAAAACTCAAATATTTTTATTTGCCGCTGGTTTTTTCGACTCAAGCGTACTGTAGGCTTATTCTACAGAACAAGAGCTACATTTTGGTACCATTGACAGCTCTGTACGACCAAAGATAGCCGAGATACGAAAAGTCACTTTGGACCAGCAAAAATTAACTAAAGAAAACCCAGACTTATAATTGCTATAAAAATTTTTCTAACAATTTTGGATGTAAGAAAACAACTTTTTTTATAGTAATTCAACCACGGGGAACATTTTGAGATACTCGGCGCATTAATAGGACGTATGGCTGAAAAGTTACGGCTGGGGGGGGGGGATAAACTAGAGTTTAGCCTATTTTTTGATGCTCTATCGAATGACGGGTTCAAAATATCGAAAAATTGGCGAAAATGCTGAAAACTAGCATTCCGGAACCAGCTTCAATAGTTTTTTTTGTTTTTACTATACCTTTTTTATATTACAATACTTCTGGCTAAAACAAAAACTCTTAGTATATTTTTTGATGCTCTATCGAATGGCGTTGCAAAAATCCCGAGAAAATAGCGAAAAGATGGAAGGTTCCGCGAAGCATATTTCCCCCCCCCGCACAGTTTTTTCCCCCACGCGAAATAGAACAGAACCGCGGGGGATTTCAATTTTCCCAGCCTTATTTAAGAAATAACGTAATATGAACTATTTTTTTTGAAAATCGATTTTTTGGCTCTTATTCCTCGGCTTTTGATCTCAGTCCCGATCTTGGCGCTACCAAAGTTACGACCCTATTGCACCTGCTTTCAGGTCAATACAACAGCTTTCGAGACCCCAATCGACTCGAACTCAAGCGTTTCACCTGGCTCGATCACAAACCCAAAATGCAGCCAGCACCTCGATACTGCAGAGGATTCGGGATACAGCGTAGGTTACGGTATCTGCAAAAATCAAATACCTTTAGGGAACGCTGCTATGGAGCCCGGCTTCTCGAAGTCTGCTCTTTTCCGCAGCTTTCTATGGTGCACTGGGTGACGACGCTGGTCTCTGGCTATTTGGCTGATCATTTTCGGCCCAAGCTGTTATTATTTGGTTTGTCAATCTCTCTCTCACTCTCTCATTCTCTCTCTCGCTCTCTCTCTCTCTCTCTCTCTCGCTCTCTCATGCTCTTTTTCAGCAGCCACCTGCGATTTGCCTTCATCACCCTCCTCGTGCTTAACCTTGGCCAATGCTTCATACTGGGGCTTCTACGCATCGAGAGTGATCTTGGGACTTGGAGACGTACGTAATTTACCTATACACCTTTCATGCAAAGAAATAGGGCTTCCTGATCCCCTGCATCAATTCGGTCATCTCCAGATGGTTCCCGCAAAGTGAGAGATCGATGGCCGGAGCGATATACACGCTGGGGAATCAGGTAAAATAGGACAGACATATTACTTTGCATATAGAAAATTCAGAGTGATTTTGCTGTCTTTAGATGTCCGCCGGACTTACCTCCATCATAGCTGCCTGGCTTTGCACATCATTCCTCGGGTGGCCGTCGATTTTCTACATCCTTGGTGGGCCTGGGACCCTCTAATTTTCCTGGACTAAAAACTCCAGGCTCCAAACTACAAAATACATTCTTATCTTAGGCGTTCTTGGCCTCTGCTGGGCCGTCGTTTGGCTCATTTTCTCGGCCAACCGCCCGGCTGAATGCCGTTGGGTTTCTGAAGACGAACAACTCTTCCTCGCCAAAAATCTCGGAAAGCAGAAGCGACCCCTACCTCTGGTCAGACATTCCCCCGGCCCCTTTAAAAGTCTCTCCTACCTTCAGCAAGACGCCCCGTGGCGCCAGCTGCTCCTTGGAAAAACGACACTGTCCATCTACGGCGTCCAGTTCGCGTTCAACTTCACGATCTCCCTGCTCCAGTCATTTTTGCCGACATTTCTCAAGGAACACTTGATGTTGCCTATCCATATGGTAAAGCTCACAAATCGTGAAGTCAAAACTTTTTTTTGCAGAATGGCATCTACAACATGATCCCTTTCATGTCGCAGATGATCGCTAAGCTGTTCGTCGTGTCCTTGGCGAATTGGTTGAAAGCGCGCGAGATTACGGGAGCAGATGCGTCGGTGAAGATCTTCCAGGGGCTAGGTGGGCGTAGTGTAACGTAATTGACGGGTTCTTAAGGATCTCTCGGTTGTGGGGTAACGATTTTCCTGCTAGCCGTCGTGCCAAGTTGCGAGCATCCGACGTGGGCCATCCCGATTTTGATATGTCACGGTGGGGGTGTTATCTGGAGCTCTCGCGCTCTCTTTCTCTCTCGTTCTCTCTCGCGCTGTATCTCTCCCTCTCTCTAGCTCTCTCTCTCGCACTCACATTCCCTCAGTCTCTCTAGCTCTCTCTCTCGCTTATTCTCCATCTCTCTATAGGCATCTCCTTCTCCTGCTCGATCCCCGGCTTCTTCACGGCCTTGGTGTCCATCGCCCCTCCCTACACCGGAACGATGACGTCACTTGGCCGTACCTGCGCTACCCTAGGAAACATCTCCGGTGCCATGATGATGTCGTTGATTGATAAAATGGTTAGACTGCGAATTTCTTGCGCTCTCGCTCTGTCTCTCTCTCTCTCTCTCTCGCCTTCTCTCCATCTCTCGCTTATCTCTCGCTTCAAATACTCCAATTTCTAGAACTGGCCCAACAAGTGGTTGATCATCTTTTCTTTCGGCGCCGTCTGCCACCTGTTAACGGGCCTCAACTTCGTTTTTCATGGCAAAGGTTGATCCTCATTTTCTAAAAAAAAACATGTTTTAGCTACGGTCCAAGCCTGGGGCGATCCAAGCACGATCAGATCAAAAAGAGCCCCATCAACGCCACCAAACTCTGAGGCCGCCGCCAGCTGATTAAAAACATTTTATTTTGCTCTTAAATTGCTTTTATGAATGGAGCATATTATCATGGTGCTGATGAATAAAGAATTCAATGCAAATTGTTGAATGCAGCTGAAAAAGTTGCTGGTTGATTTTTATCGCCGCATTTAAAGGGATAAGGAAGGTCCAGTAGATCAGGGCTCATCCATAATTGGCAACGAGCCAACCGGAAATGCTAGTGCAATATACGGGGTAGAGAGTGGGCGTTGGCGAGACTGAGCAGGGACGGTTTATGCCAATTTTGCAGTGAAAACCGGCTTTCTGCCTAATTTTTCTGGGCCTGCCTGATCCCTTTAATTGATAAAAATCCTGAATTTGCATAATTAGAGACAGAGACCGCTAAATTCTAATCAATCTGCCATAGACCAAATTTTTGCAGGCAGGGAAATGAGACACCAAAAAACTACACAATGTCTGGCGTACGTCAAAAATTCCACATGTCAGATAGCGTAGTCAAAACAAAAAAAAAGCAACCATCGTCTGGAATTATTACTAGCAATTTAACCATTTTTAAATTTGCATCCTAACTTTCAATTCGGGAATTTGCATATTACTCACTTAATCTTAATTTTGCATACACCACTTGATTCTCGATCTCATTCTTAACGTCGTCCTCCCCACCATGGCCGACCCTCCGGATGACCCGTCCTCCGCAGCACCTCGATCGAAGCAGGATTCTGGCAGCGTCTCCACGGCAGTCTCTCCCACGTCATCCGGACCACCTTCCCCGCCTTCTTCAGAAGACAAGGCCCCTCACGTCGATTTCTTCTCGATCCACTCGCATCGCCTTCGAATATGCCTGCTGCTGATGCTCGGCCTGTACGTGATGGCGTCGATGAGGATCGGGTTGGGGATGGCGGTGACTTGCATGGTAGTGCCGGACTTGAATGGTACCTACTTCCGGTTTAGGTAAACGGTACCGCCTTCGCAACACCCCGTTCGAACACCACCATCTTGGGCCGGCCGAGCCCGAGTCCGTCCTGTGAGGCGCAAGACCCATCAAATGATGCCGGGTATGGGGTATGGAACAAGATTTTATTCTGGTTTACTGAATCTTATATAGGGTGACTTATTGTGGAGCCCGGCCGAGCAGAGTCTGCTTTTCTCGGCCGCTTTCTATGGTGCACTCATCACTACCGTACCCTCGGGATACTTGGCTGATCGGTTTGGGCCGAAGTTGTTGCTTTTTCGTAGGTTTTTGTTCGGTGAAATTGTTCCTATTGGGTCGCGCGCGACCTGACCCGCCCCGCGACACGCAACGCGGCAAGTAGTGCGACACCCGACGCACAAGCGACGCGAGAAGCGACGGGCAAAGCAACGCCACACACCACTGGGCCGCCGCCTAGGCCCCGTAATCAATTACGCCAAACAAACAGGAATGCGCGCGTTGCGTGTCGCGGCCGCCGGCGTGGCAAGTTCCATAGATCCATAACCAAAAAACCTTAACTTTAGCTGATTGGTCCCCTAAACCCATTTTAGTCACCGCCTGCACCCTCACCATCACAACGATGATCGGTCCCCTCTTGGCGAACCTTTCCTATTGGTCCTTTTTCACCTCACGTGTCGTTTTGGGACTTGGTGACGTAAGCTACCTCACTGCTACCTTTGATTTCCCACCACCAGGGCTTCATCATCCCGTGCATCAACACCGTCATCACGCGTTGGTTTCCCAGCAAAGAACGATCCACTGCGGCTGCGATTTACACGCTCGGGAACCAGGTTTGAATTTGGGCATCCTGAGGTATCTACGCTTGGCTACGGTTTACTTTACCCCCCCCCCCCACCCCCGCCCCCAGCCGGAAGTTTTTGGCTATAACTTTTTTATTTTACATTATTGTAGGCTCAAATTAAAACTCTTAGTATATTTTTCGACGCTCTATCGAATGGCGTTGCAAAAATCCCGACAAAATAAGCGAAAATACCGACAACTTTGAGACCGTTCGGCTGGGGGGGAGGGGGGGGGGGTAAAGTAAACTCTTACCTCTACGCTTTCCTAGTTGACCTCTGGCCTGACAGCAATCATCGCCGCGTGGCTTTGCACTTCGATTTTTGAATGGCCGTCGATATTCTACTTGTCTGGTGGGTAGAAGACGCCAGTTCCGGAATTCTAAGCTACCGTGTGTCCTCAAAGAACCTGGTTTACTAGTTTCACCGGAATCGCTTGGGCCGTCGTGTGGATGATTTTCTCGACGGATCGGCCAGCGGATTGTCGTTGGGTTTCTGAGGATGAGAAGCTGTACTTGGCGGATAGTATGGGCAGGCCGAAGAAGCCATTTCCGTTGGTGGGCATTTGGCTTCGGCGGCTTAGGTTAGTGTTGGCTCAGGTTTAGCTTAGGCTTAGTCTTCGTTTAGACTTCACTTACGCTGGACTTAAGCTTAATTTCGGCTTAGGATGGCTTAGTCTTTGGAGCAGAAGGAAGTTATAGGTTTTATGAGAGTTTTCCAGAGAGAAACGCCCTGGAAAAAACTCCTTCTGAGCAAAACCACCATCGCCGTCTACGGCATCCAGTTCGCGACCAACTTCACGATGTCCATCCTCCAGTCCTTCCTCCCCACCTACTTCAAGGAGCATCTCATGCTCCCCATTCACATGGTAACCTTGAATTTCAGTTCCTTTGAAAGGCTATGTTCTTTCGAACGGCGTCTACAACATGATCCCGTACATGGTGCAAATGTTCGGGAAACTGGCCATCGTCTGGTTGGCCAACGTGCTGAAGTCGCACAACATAACGACGGCCGACTCGTCGGTGAAGATCTTTCAGGGGATGAGTAAGTTTTGCCGCGTTAGCGAAAATGTGATACTTTAGGCTCGATCGGATGTGGGGTTACGATCTTCCTCCTTGCCGTCCTGCCAGATTGTGAACATCCAGAGTGGTCGATTCCCATTTTAATCGTACACGGTATGAAATCCTGAAGCTCACGATCGAGATTAGCTTCTAGGCCTCGCCTTCTCCTGCATCATCCCCGGCTTCTTCACGTCGCTGCTGCTCATCGCTCCGCCGTACACCGGCACGATGACGTCGGTCGGCCGCAGCTTTTCAATGGTCGCCAACATTTCCGGGGCCATGCTGATGTCGTTGATTGATAAGATGGTAGCATAAGGCTTGTATAACTCACCGGATAGTTGGGGCTGGAAGAACAAGTGGCTGATCATCTTCTCGCTCGACGCCTTCTCCCAGCTCACCAGCGGCGTGTTTTTCATCTTTTATGGGAAAGGTCAGACTTTGGTTACAAGCTTGGGTTTGGATTTAAGCTTAAGGGTAGGCTAGGCTTAGGCTTAGGTTTGGCTTAGGCTTGGCTTAGGTTTGGCTTAGGCTTGGCTTAGGTTTGGCTTAGGCTTGGCTTAGGTTTGGCTTAGGCTTGGCTTAGGTTTGGCTTAGGCTTGGCTTAGGTTTGGCTTAGGCTTGGTTTAGGCTTGGCTAAGGCTTGGCGCAGGCCTAGCTTAAGCCTGGCTTAGGCTTGGCTTGGCTTGGCTTATGCTTGGCTTAGGCTTAGGTTTAGGCTTAGGTTTAGGCTTAGGCTTAGGGTTATGCTTAGGCTTCGCTTAGGCTTGTTTTAGACCATAGACAGGCTAACAAAAATACAACCAATTTCAGCAACCATACAAGAATGGGCGATCCCCGCCACAACCACCATCCCAACCCTCAACACCCCAGCCACCTCCGAGGCGGCCATCGACTTGAATTAACTGCCAATTAATCCCTATCGTTGATCGTGTGCGATTTTGTTAGATAACGAATGAAGTAAACGCCGTGGTGGCTTCTGAATAAACACGTTTACGTATATATGATATTTCGAGTATTTCGGTGCCAAAATCTGTTCAGATACACTTTTTGCAGAGCGTTTTTTAGCGTTTCACAGTCCCGAGTCTAGACAGAAAGTTTTTGCATTGCAAGGTGCTTGTTCACCGACCATCACACGCTGACAAAAAGTGCATTCTAGAGAACAGGGCAACGGGTAAATTGCATCAAAATTCAATCGGATGTACGGCACTGGAACTGGAAAACAAAAGAACCCGGGACTGCTTATGCGAATTGGACCCGAGCCTTCGCCACACCATACAACAAGTCGGTAGAGGGAGCTTGAAGATTACACCGGAATTTGGAAATTCTAAGTATTTGAATATTTTCTATAACATTAAAAATGGATACCTCAACCTTGTTTTCCTGTTCTTTATCTTCAATGCTGAGGGTAAGGGATACGGAGAGCGGTTACTTAAAGGATCATGAGTCTGTTGCGGATCCTGATAAACATATTTCTTTTTCCCTCAAATTTTTTTAAATCTGAATAACCCTGTAAACTGCATCATTTTTAAGCAAAACCCAGCTTTTTGCCGAGTTCAAAACAAACCCTGCCCAGACGCTTGAATAAATATTTTGAAAGTTTCGTGCATTTTTGGCATGGAATGGAAAGTCGTGGCGAAAAAGCTATTTCCGTTCAACGGTTGATTTCACCTGCTAAAACACTCATGACAAATATTTTTTGGGGTTATTGTGGAGCTCTAATTATTCTATTTTCCGGCAATATTACGATTTTTTTTGTTGGTTTCTACAGCTCTCCAAACTCCGCAAATCAAAAATGTTTTCTATGTATGCAGGCACAGGAAAAATTGCACTTTAAAGAGGGCCCGGCGTAGATAGTTGCATCACATATCAACGCACCATGGCGGGAGTCGCGACTCCGAACAACACGAAAACCCGGGGGCGGCTTATGCAAAATGGACCCGAGCCGCCCGCCCAGGCATATTATGTAACAGACGTTAAAGGCTAACCGCGCGGAAGAATATCCCAAATTTTTAGTGTACATTAACCCTAAAATTTGTTACTTGTAAGCTGTTCCACATATCTATAGAACTCTATTAATCGATCAGAACCATGGAAAAATCGCCGTTATTCTCGCTGAAATCTCATCGGCTACGGATTTGCCTCCTCCTAATGGCCGGCCTTTACGTGACGGTATCGATGAGGTTAAATTTGAGCATGGGCGTTACTTGTATGGTGAGTTGATGCTAACTTTGCGCCAAAATATCACCGCTTTCCGGTTAATTCGACTGCCTATACGAATAATATCCGCTCTTCGAATATCTCGTATCAAGGAGCGGAAGAAAACTGCTTGCTTGACTTTGATGAAGATCCCTCAACAAATGATGGTGGATACGGGGCAGGCTTTTGCAATTGGCCTTATGTCATTTTTTGACCTATTTAAGGGCACCTTACTTTGGACCCCATCGATGCAAGCCCTGCTCTTCTCGGCAACGTTTTATGGTGGTCTGGTGACGATAGCGATTTCGGGATATTTTGCGGATAAATTTGGACCAAAAGCAATTCTATTAGGTTCGTTTAAAACAGAAATGCGATAAAACTTGCGTGTTTAGTTGCAACTGTTGATTTTTCCATATTCACCCTACTCGCGCCGATGCTAGCCGAAAATTCCTACTGGGCATATTTCGGGTCGAGGCTGTTAATGGGATTGGGAGAGGCTGGTTTTTATAGTTTTGGCTCACTTATAATCTCATTTTGCTAAAGGTTTTTCCTTTCTTAGGAGAATCCTGTGAACAGCCAACTGTGTCTTTTTTAAATTCAATCTTTTTAATTCAAAGTCACAATCTTCACTTAAAGCGCACGTTCAAGGAGGGGCCGTGTACTCGTCCCAACGTCTACACCCTATGGACGTAGGGACCGCGCGCACTGCCTGCCCGTGCCGTGGCAGGCAATTCCCCTCCTTTCCAGGGTGAGGCGCCCCTCGCCCCCTCGCTAGGTTGTAGCTGTTGCTGACTGGTATCCATCCGCGTCTCCCGAGCGGGGGTCCCGGGTTCGACCCCCGGCCGCGGCAAAAATCTTTTCTTTGTTGCCCAAAAACGTCCCCGAACGTGCCCTTTAAGTTATGACGTTTTTAGGGCTTCGTCTTTCCATGCCTGAACTCCATGGCCGCCAAATGGTTCCCTCCTAGTGAAAAATCGACTGTTGGAGCGCTTTATACAAGTGGGAATCAAGTTAGTGATACCTTCATGAAACTATAAAATATGATAAAATTAATAAAGCACATTCGGTAAATCGGTACAAAAACCTTTTGTCTAGCTGGCCGCCGGGTTGACCTCTTTCATCGCCGCTAGCCTGTGTTCATCTCCATTAGGATGGCCTTCGATTTTCTACATATTCGGTACGACCTCATCCATTTTTACTCATCCAAAATATGCTTCGATAACAGCTTAAACCCCAGTAAATTCAGGCGGACTCGGGCTGATCTGGGCGCTAGCATGGCAAATCTTTGCCACAAATTTTCCAAGTGAAAACCAGTGGACCTCAGCCGAGGAATTAATGTACATCGAGAAGAATCTAGCGGCCAAGCATCACTCTCAAATTTTTGTGAGTATTATTACAAATTAGAAATTAAACGAGCTTTAGAAGGACAACAAAGTCCCGTGGAAGCAGCTGCTAATTAGCCGATCATCCTTGGCCATCTATACAAGCCAGTTCAGCTACAATTTTTCGGCAGCAATTATGCAAGCATTTTTGCCGACCTATTTCAAAGAAGTTCTGTATATCCCGATTCATATGGTAAGTTTGCAAAGGTATTACCGTTTCACTTAGATTTTCGACGGTTTTTAAGGTTTATTTGTATCGTTAAAGCTAGGTAATATTTTTAGAATGGACTTTTCACAATGGTCCCCTTCATCTCGCAATTGATATCGAAAAATATCTTTGGCTTGTTGTCGGACTATATGAAACGGCATCAAATTTTGAAGCCGGATGCTTCGGTCAAGATTTTTCAAGGGATTGGTAAGTGTGATCGAGTATTTCAGGTAATTGACAAAAATTCCAGGAGCCGTTGGTTCCGCTTTATCACTATTTGCTTTGGCTACGCTACCATCCTGTCGACACCCATATATCGCACTACCAATCTTGATGATATATGGTAGGTCGCTCAATAGCTTAGAGTCCAGAAAATAGGAGGTTCTGGGCATGCAATTTGTAGCTAAGGAGTAGAATAAGCCAATTCACTTCCGCTTAGGTATCTCATTCTCCGCCGGGATCTGTGGCTTTTTCACATCGCTAATATCGATTGCCCCTCCGTATTCTGGCACGATGACCTCAATATCGATGACCTACGCTACGGTGGCCAATTTTAGCGGGCCACTGCTACTGTCGCTAATTGATGTTATGGTAGTTTACAGCCCCAAATTTCGATAAGCAACGGAACTTCGCTCAGGAATGGCCCCACAAATGGTTGATCACGTTCAGCTTCGCCGGGTTGCTAAATATCTTCTCCGGGATTTTCTTCATCTTCAATGGCGTGGGTGGGTTTTGAAAAACTCAGTGAGCTTGGTCAAAAAATCGTAAGATGACCGCGTCGGATTTTGAAAGCGAGAATCGAGGAGAAAAAAAGAAAATTCTATTTCAGGCAAGGTTCAACCCTGGGCGGAATCGATTGAAAAATCTCGAGAGCGAACTGTCAGTGTAATTGAATAAAGTATTTTGATCGCACAAGGAAATGTCGGCATCTTATGAACGTAGAAATCCTCATTGACCTCGCCCAGGTGCAACAGCGTAGAGGAAGTGCGGGGCGCCGGTTTCAGGACCGCGAAGTCAGGAAAAAATGCCCCGATGTGCGGATACGAGTATTACCGGCGTACTAAAGCAGGTACGAAGATTTTCTTGGAAATCGACACAAACCTGCCAAGGTGGGGGATGACATTTTGCACCAATTAATCCCGGTAGCATCTGGTACCAAGGAGCACCGCCATGGACGGCATTGTCGTGTGGGCTGACTGACTGGCTGGTCAGCCCTAGGCATTTTGAAACAGAAATCAATGCATTTTCTGGATTTTGGTTCGGGAGCTGAAGCAAACGCGGCAGTTTTTGGCTCGCGCAGACCAAAATGTATGGGATTTGGAGAAAAGTTCTAAGAAGTGGACGAAATCTCCTGGGGCCCATATCTCAGCCATCTAGTGTCCGATTTTAATGACCTCAACATCCATCGATATCTACCCCTCGAGGGCTATCGATTGGTGTTAAAGGTATGGTATGCAAATGCCTGTATGCGAAGATATCTCGCTTGTAAGCTTTCGCCTGATTTTTATGCGAGACTTCTGAGGCGTTTATCCTCGCGTACGTCGGTTTTTGGGTGCTTTGAGGGACGTCTGGTGATAGAGCATCCGAAGATCTACCAAACCATGTATACTTTCACATCGGACGTTCCTGCCGGTTTCAGCAGCGGTTCAAAGATTTTGTGCCATTACTTCCTTTCCAACCTGTTATAAGGTAGGACTACCTAGAGGGTGCCCCTTTCAGGTATGTGGCTTACGCAAAAAGCTCTGTTGTGCGGAAACCAGGTAACCATCAAAACCCTTATTCAAATCCGTATTCGCTCCTTGCGGGTACGACAATCGAAAGCCTTGCATGCCGAGATTTGTCACGTTGTGGTGGGCTAAAAAACCGAGTTTCAAGCTAGCGATCCCTACGTTACCGTCCGAAGAATCCAGACACCATCCCAATGATATACCTTCGATAGGAAGGCGTGGCTGATAATAATACAAATGATGTTAAGGTTGTGTGTGCCGCCTGGGTGCCTACCAGGAGGTTGGTTAGCCCTAAATTGCAGGGATTGACGGCTCAAATTTTGGACATACATTGGGGAAAGCGGATCCGGATCAGTACCATTATTAGCACACCGATATACGGTAAACCCATGGTAGCAATTGGGATCGTCACCTAATTAGAGTAGAGGTCATTTAATAGAAGATACACTGCTATACTTACCCCGATCAACAACACGTGCAAAAATCTGCGGTGTATCTGCTTCGTCCTGGTGCTCATCAGCGAGTGCTGATCATTAAGAAGAGCGAAACAATGCCAAACGATCAAACCCGTCTAGGCGATCGTTTTACGACGCCAAACAAAACCGATACCACTATCACGCCGTAAACAATAACTGCCAGGATGGCCGTCGCCATCAGCATCCCGCTGGAAACTTCGAGGTATGGTGGATACAAGGCGCGACGATCCATGATGTAAAAAGAATTCAAGGAGGCCATATATGCTAGGCTAGAATCTTCCTAAATCCACAGTTTCCTTGGCTGAGCGGGTTTTTTACAAACTCTGATAGTCTTCCGCAAAATTTCCGAGTCAGGACCGGCCTCCAGTGGCGCTGTCAAGGAGCCGCACAAAAACCATATAGTTGGACTCAAGTAGTGGTAGAGGGCAAAACGGATATATCTCCCTTTCGAGAAGCGCAGCTTACTGCCGGGTTTCAATAAAACATGATGTCGGTAGACGAAGCATTGAAGTGTTGATGCCATCATTCCATTCATGAATACCGCGCCAATGCTCTAATTTAAGATTCGTCACAGAGGTACTGATCTGTTAGCGGGGGGGATAGTCCATTTGTATAGCAATGCGCAAGGTATTGAGACAAGTATTTTTGGCCAACAACTACCAACCATTTGCATAACTTTTTATGGTTGTGATATTAAAAAATGAAACTCTTCAAAAAATTATACAAATTTGCCAAAATTTCTGACTTTTTTGGACGTCTGAAAATGCCTAATAAAGGTAAAAAAATTGCAAAGTTTCCAAAAATTCTGAAAGTTTTGATGACAATCAAAAAAAATACCAAACCTGTACAGATTTTCATGTTTTTCAAAAGGCCGGTTTACGAGCAAAACACATTGGTTTCCCCCCTGTTAACAGTCCAGTACCGTCAGAATCGTAATCATTCCAACATCCGGACGCAAAACAATGACTATAGACTTACAAGCACGATCTTGCCGTGAACCCCACGCAACACACCCAGCATACTCGCTGCCAAGGTCGGTAAGTAAAATTCCGGACATGCAGCGTGAAATATTACTTCTTGCAGTATCGCCCAAAGCTTGAAAAGTAATTGTTTTCCAGTTCTAATCTTGATATCCAGTACCTGGAACCATGCCAAATGCCAGCGATACACTGTCGCCTTTTCTGATGGGTTTTTAATAATTACCCAAAGCGCAAATATATTCCATGGTGTCCCGACGAGGAGTAATAATGTGGAAAAGGCCTTGTAAATTGTTGGGTCTTCATAATCCGGATGCGAGCTCATAAGCCGTGATGCCGTAAACCAACACTGACACGTGCGGTTTGTTCGAATCCGAGAAAGGTGTTTGTAGACGGCTAGAATGACCAAATACCGCGTCCAGGTGATTGTTAAAGTACCAATTTGGCGTCAAAACAGGTTTGTGCGGCCAATGGAAAGCTTTATCCAGTAATTACAACGAGCAGGGGGTGTCGGAATTCATTTGTGTTTATAGAAGCCCTCGCCCGATTTTCGTCCTAGTTTTCCTTGTGAAACTTTTTCTTCGAGCAGTCTGCTGGGCCGGAACAGGGGCTCGTCGGGGTACGCTTTGTGCCAACCTGAAAGTTTATTACTTTTGGTTTTTGCAAAATTATAAGAGTTTACAACGTTTGGATGGTTAAAGGGCTAGTTCAGCCAATAAAACAAAAGAATTTCCGCGGCCAGGAGTCGAACCCTCTCTGCATTTTTGTGTCTGCGCCTCCCCCATCTCCCCGATCTCTAATAGCTGTCGTAATGGGGGACTGTTCGGGCGCACTGTGCCTACGTCCATAGTTTCCCAAGGTACCAGCCCAAGCTCTAAAAGTTGAACTAGCCCTTTAAGGCTCACACGTACCGTCAGAAATAAACTTTGCGGTGTCCAGGCCACCATAATCAGAGAGCTCAAACGGTCCCATCGGATAGCCAGCACCAAGCTTCATGGCAATATCAATATCCTCCATTGAGGCGTCGCCACGCTCGTACTGAAGTCTTTTATAAGGATTTAATAAGGATGCTTGTCAGCTTAGCGACAGCCTTGTTTTTAGTTCCCCCGAAATCTTACCATTCGCAATGCTTCAAACATGTAAGGTACAAGAAGCCGGTTCACGATAAAGCCGGGAGTATCCTAGAGTTTTTATTATATAAATTGATGAAATCAAAATCAACCAAATTCAATTACATTAATGATAAATACCTACCTTGCAAGCCACAGTCGTCTTTCCGATGGCTTTTCCGTACTCGTTCAATTTGTTGAATGTGTCGTCCGAGGTATCACTGTGTTTTACCACCTAAAAATGTAATTTTCTGTGGTGCTTTATTATTTACCTCCAACAACTTCATCATCGGCACCGGGTTGAAGAAGTGTAGCCCACCAAAGTTTTTCTTGTTCTTCAAGTTCAACCCGATATCGGAGAGCTTCAGTGACGAAGTATTTGAGGTCAAAATTGCGTCGCTAAATAATTTGCTGTATTTTCTGTATATTTTAATACCTTTTTGCATCCTTTTCGAGCTGCGCAAGCAGCGCCCTCTTGACGTCCAGGTTTTCTACGATTGCCTCGATCACTAAAAATACCTGTTTTTAATTCTAGTTATAGCTCGATACCCAAATCAGCATCCCTCACGCCCTTCTTCAAGTCGGTGGTCGTCTTGATGTACTGGCTGACATCGCTGACGAATTTTTTCTAAATTTGTGGATAAAAAAGCTTCGTAATTATGCTCAAACCTGTCCAGCGGCGTCGTCAGCAAACTTCTTCTTGGCTACTCGCGAAAGAGACGTTTCGATGCCTTTTGGGCCTTTTGAAGAGCAGCCTCTTTTTGGTCGACCAGGAAAACATTAATTTGTGCCTGCGCTGAGACCTAAATTTAGCTTTTCTTGTGCTGTTCGGCTACAACCAACCTGGGCAATGCCGGAGCCCATAATCCCAGCACCGATCACCGTCACATTTTTAATTTGCCTATTGAAGCTGCGGGAACTGGATAGATGTCTATTAGGATTTAAAAAGCTGCGGCTCAGCATTTCTAAACTTCAAAAGAATAGTTATAATTGAAAAAGCCGCAAATAAGGAAATTGAATCAAACCGGAACCCCTTGGAAAAATGAGGTAAAAATTGTGGGAAACAAACAATTGTGGCTCAGCGAGTGCCGATAATGCGCGCATTCTTGCAGCGCTGATACGGCCTACATGCTAGCCAAGGTCAGGTCAAATCGATTGTGCTCGTTAATAATCGGGGAACTATCATCAAAAAGTGTACCTTACAGCTAGCTACCTAATTATAACATCTCGTTTATGCCGGTGTAATTCAGCAAAATCAATTCTCTTTATCTCAAATCTATTCACAAATCACAAGTATTACACGTTAAGCACGAAATGAATACAGAAGAAGCCAGTGAGCAAGAAAAAGAAGATCACAAAGCATGGTAATTACTTGTACTTGTAAAAGCCTTCGCCGGATTTGCGCCCGAATTTCCCGTCGGCCACCTTCTGCGTCAAGAATTTGCTGGGCTTGAAGAGCGGCTCATCCGGGTACGCCTTGTGCCAGCCTGGAAAAAACACTGGCTAATTTGCAACTTTGAAAAGCACGCAAAATCAAGATTTTTGCTACTAACCGTCCATGATAAATTTCGAGGTGTCGAGTCCGACATAGTCGGTGAGCTCGAACGGTCCCATGGGATAGCCGGCGCCGAGTTTCATGGCAACATCAATATCCTCCATCGAAGCATCCCCACGCTCGTACTAAAACTTCATATTTCACCATCTTTCTTGACAACGTACCATCCGCAAAGCTTCAAACATGTAGGGGACGAGAAGACGGTTGACAATGAATCCGGGGGTATCCTAGAAAAAACCCTATTTTCAAAAAATCATAATATTTTACACCTTGCAAGCCACAGTCGTCTTTCCGATGGCTTTTCCGTACTCGTTGAGCGTCTGGAAAGTCTCGTCCGAAGTATCGGCGTGTCGGACAACCTAGCAATTAAGGAAATTAAGCGCTTTTGTCAATTATCTACCTCCAACAGCTTCATCATCGGCACCGGGTTGAAGAAATGCAGCCCTCCAAAGTTTTTCTTGTTCTTCAAGTTCAAGCCAATGTCGGAAAGCTTCAGGGAGGAGGTGTTTGTCGTCAGGATAGCGTCGCTAAATTAATTTTACAAAAGACACCTCTAAATTTACCTCTTGGCATTCTTCTCCAACTGCGCGAAAAGATCCCGCTTGACATCGATATTTTCCACAATAGCTTCAATGACTAAAAGAAATGGAATTACCAAATTTTTTAGAGAGTAATCTACCCAAATCAGCGTTTTTCACAGCCTCCTCGACATCCGTAGTGGTCTTGATGAACTGGGTGGCGTTGCCCACGAATTTTTTCTAGACAAAAATATTGGCGCGAAAGATATAAAGCACCTGTCCCTCGGCGTCGTCGGCAAATTTCTTCTTGGCCACCCGGGAAAGCGAAGATTCGATTCCCTTCTGGGCTTTCTGGAGGGCCGCCTCTTTCTGGTCGACAAGGTAGACATTAATCTTCGCTTGCGCCGAGACCTAAAATTTTCGCTTTAGCCCCTCCTTGTTCTGAGCACAAAGCTTTATTTTCCAAATTTTTACCTGCGCAATTCCGGAGCCCATCAGCCCGGCGCCAATAATCGTCACATTCTGGACCTGCTTGTTCAGGTAGCGCGTGGAGGATAGGTGCCGGCTGGCTTGCACAACGTTTCGTCCAAGCATCCTGAAAAATCGGTATGTATTTGGTGCAACAAATGAGGAAATAAAGGGAATTAGAGGAATGATAACATCCTTACACCGCTTTGTTGACCCCGGGGAGGCGAACTTTGTAGTCTGACACCAATATCGCTGGGGAAAGCAAGAAAGAAACAACTTTGGGCGTTCCAAAAATTGGAAAAAATCGCAGCGAATGCTTGCCAAACAATGAAAAATCATGAAAAGAAAATTTGAAACACTGATTTGCCGAAAAACAAAAAAAAGAAGAAGGAAAAACAACAATTCTGGACGGGCGGGCCCAGGGGGGGGCGCAGGGGGGGTCGGTAATGGGGTACCGATGTTGTTGAAGAAAACATTACAAGTGTAAGAAACTATATTGCTTTGCTCACAAGTTTATTTTAACGACAAGATAAGTATAATAACGTGCACAATGGCCAATTGTATATATGCCCAGGTAGACGCTTTACAACGCGGCGCTAAATCATGGCTTGCATGTACGTATAAGACCAAATATCGTGGAAAAAGCAAGACGCATCTGTAGGGAGACATTATCAAATAGATTTCGTCGAGCCTTCTAGCTTCTCGGCTCGACAGCAGGTGCAGTCGACGGAAACAATTTCGAGCCAAAACCATGACTATGTATGGTCGCGCAAATTTGATCGATATCTTTCCGGACCGACGATTACTGAAGATAGTATTTCATATTTGTAAAAGTATGCTCTGTTGAAACCCGAACCAAGACGGTCCTGTTGTTCAGAATTGTCAGCTGCTGCCGGGCAGCGTAAGAGCAGCGCTAAAACTATCTTACAGGAAGTTCGCCTTAGAAAGAAAGCGGTTTATTTTTGGATAGCTTTGGTCTATTTGTTGAAATTCAGCACAACCTTGTTCGCATCATATTTGCGCTTCTTAAACCTATGTGAACATAGGAAGCCCTATTTTTCATCGTGTATCGCTTGGGAGTGTGGCCTGAAAACTACTTGAGTGGATACCCTAAAGTTATAAGTCAGAACTGGTTTTAGAATTCCCCTGTCGATCCTGATGCCAGGGGAATGAAAAGGAAACAAAGAAAATCATGACAAGCAAGCAAAGATTTAGCGCCGCGTTGTAAAGCGTCGACCTGGGCATATATACAATTCCATTGTGCACGTTATTATACTATTCTTGTCGTTAAAATAAACTTGTGAGCAAAGCAATATAGTTTCTTACACTTGTAATAGTTTTTCTTTCCACAAAACATCGAGTAATCAGTCCCATTACGCGACCTAAAAGCCTGTCACTGCTATTGCGCGCCCCGCGAATCAACCTGCCTGAGGGCTAAAAACCCGCCCGTCAATTCTGGGCTTAACTGTCCGTTGTGATACAACTGACATTTTGACGCGTAATCGGTTTGGCGTGGAGCCGAGAAATTTATTTTTCTGGACCGTTTTTTTCTTTCCGAAATCACGCTCTGAAAGTTATTTTTTTTCCAAAAATTGTAGAAATTTGTTTCCAAGCGCTTCTATCAATAGTGGTTTCTATTTATGCTTTCGTGGGCTTGGGTCAAGATCGAACCAGTTGTGCAAACAGAGCCTTTTTTTAACGCCAGCCGGTCTTCCCCGTTCTTCCCTCATTTTCCGGCTTCATTTCTTCCTTTTCTTGTTAGTCTTTTTATTGGCTGTACAACCATTTTTGTCTAGGTAACCACTGGTCCCCTGCGAACGGTCCCGATGTCAGGCGCGGTGAATGCTACAAAGTATGCTCTTTTTCTTGTTTTTATTTAGATTCATGTTTAGCCCTGGCAGCCTGTCGCTGTGGAAACGATATGGTCTTTCGGAAAATACGGTGCGTGGAATTACGATTGGAGGTATGGCCATCTAATCTTTTGAAAATGGAGTTTTAGGACTAACGGGTGCGATCGAAATCTGCATAACTTTCCCAACCGAGTACGTCAAGACCCAACTGCAGCTGGACGAGCGGAGCGCTCAGCCGAAATATAAGGTATTTGAGTAGAGTTTTTTTGGAAGAGTTTTAGGGCCCGATCGACTGCGTGAAGCAAACGGTTCGGGGTCACGGCTTCTTCGGATTGTATCGCGGGCTTTCGGTGTTGCTCTATGGCTCGATTCCGAAAAGTGGAGCTCGGTTCGATTTCTAAATTATTTGTCGTTTATTTTTAGATTCGGTACTTTCGAATACCTAAAAGGAAGGGCCGCTGACGAGAACGGAAATTTATCCCCGGTGAAACGTCTTTTGTGCGGTTTGGGCGCTGGTAAGCTTTTTCAATGGGTTTTAAAAATCGCAAATAGGTGTATCTGAGGCGATCCTTGCAGTGACACCGATGGAAACGATCAAAGTCAAGCTGATTCATGACCAAACCCTTGAGGTATAATAATTTATTTTGGGGAAGATTCAGTTGATTTTAGAAACCGAAATACCGCGGGTTTGCACATGGAGTGTCGACGATCGTTAGGACCGAGGGGTTGAAAGGAATCTATCAAGGGCTCTCTGCAACCATCATGAAGCAGGGCTCAAATCAGGCGATCCGGTTTTTCGTTATGGAGACGTTAAAGGTATTTTTTCGTCGAAATTCAAAACTCTTTTGCTCTTTAGGACTGGTATCGCGGCGGAGACAACACGAAGCCCATCGCCAAGCCACTTGTCGGTTTGATGGGTGCCGTTGCGGGAGCAGCTTCGGTGAGCTAAATATTAGAGCTTTGGTTTATGTTCTGTTTAGGTGTACGGTAACACTCCAGTTGACGTCGTCAAGACCAGAATGCAAGGCCTTGACCGCCACAAGTACAAGAACACCCTTGACTGTGCGCTGCAGATCTGGCGCAAGGAGGGCTTCTTCGCGTGAGTTTTTTTGTGATTTTTGTTTCGGCGAATTTATTAAACTTTTGTCTAGTTTTACATTACTAATTTTAGATTCTACAAGGGCACCGTTCCACGACTTTCCCGCGTCTGCCTTGACGTCGCTATCACCTTCATGATCTACGACTCGATCATCGAAGCCCTCAACAAATACTGGAAGAAGGCATGAAGCTCTGTTTCCTCCCAAAGCATTCCCGCCCGTATCTATGCACACTCTAATAAGACCAAATTCTAAAGTGATAGTCCACGTTGCGATTGATTGATTTTAGTGAAGCTGGTACTTCCTTTACGTTTCCAATGTTCTAGTCCCGGTCTCCACATTCTCCCGATGCCAAATAGCCGCAAATTTTTGGGTTTTTTTCTTGGTCTAGTCTTGTTCATTTAGCTACTCCGCACTTTCCTAGGTACTTTGGTTGTGATTTTGCAATTTCGTTGTGCCATAACCCCCCTGTGAATAGCGATGATAAACTTTTATGATTAGTCAGAATCAGTCCGTTGAATTTTCCCTTCTCCGGGCACGTCATCGAGTGAAAAACTTGGTTTCACCTTATCCAAGCGAGCCCATGGCAAAACTTCGGCTGAAATTTCGAAGCGTGGCTGTTTTTGTGATCCATATTTTTAACTTTTCAATTACTAACCTGTGCCCCAGGTCAGAAAAATTATGCCGCCAATCCCCTGCACCAGGGCGCTCGAGCAAAACAGGATTGGCCATTTGTGTTCAAGCTCCTGAAAATTTATACATTTTCTAGTATACTTTGATACCAAATAATTAATGAGTGACAGAATCAGCGGCCCTAGCATGCTGCCAATCGTGCCGAGAATGGTACCTGAAAATTCGTACAAATCAAGCTTTTTTGGCATTTATTACTGAGCGAGGTGATTGTCCCGGTGTAAGGCGGAGCGATGGAAAGTACAGACGTGAAATATCCAGGCACCAAACACGAAAATGATAATCCTGAAAAGGTCGAATTTTCCATTTTTGGCTTTAGACTCACCGTAGCCTAGCAAAAGCGGAACAGCAACGATAGGATTCTCACAACTTGGTACAAAACATAACAAAACCACAAATAAGGCCGACCCGAAACAACCTAATCTTGCTTTATGTTTTTATTGATTTTTTTAAACTCACTAATCGTTTGGAAAAATTTCCCGAGCTTCGTCGGGTTGAAGCCCTTATTTCGTTTCAAATGGTCGGCAAGCGGGCCCATCGTATTTTTTGAGAGCAATTGGGAGCAGAATGGAACCATCGTATAAAAGCCATTCTGGAGGAAATGCGTTATTTTTGTTAGTTTTAGCCTTACCAAATGGATGGGTAATACTAAGACTTCTTTGAGGTATGTCGGTAGAAATGACTGCATAATGTTCGAGATAAAGTTACAAGATAGTGTGCAAAAATTCACGGCTATCACTTCTTTCGAGAATAGCAGCTTCTTCCACGGCATTTTACCGCTTTTCTAGACAAAATTAGCATTAAGCTTTTTTGCGCTTACCCCCAGCTTTTTATTTTGCCCAACATGAGCCTCGATATACTTTTTCTCTTCTTCAGAGACAAATCTATTTTTCGAGGGTGAATTCGTCATGAAAATACAGCAGCACGTTAGCCAGATGACTCCGGCGGTCGCTAGGAATGTGCTTTTTAATTTTTGTAAAGCCGTAGTACCGAAGAAATAGAAAATCATTGGCCATCCAACAGCGGTAGTGCAGAGGAAGGCGCTGATTAGGGAAGATAGGCCAGAGGAGAGCGAAAAACCTTAGTGAAAATTAGAAAAAATATTTTTACTTGGATTCCAGAAGTGTAGATCGCAGCGATGGTAGATTTTTCGGTGGGTGGGAACCATTTTGCTGCCAACGAGTTCATACATGGGAAGAGAGCGGCCTAGAACCGAGATTGGAACCTTACCAAAATTATGACGTAGTTATTGCGCATGCTGTTGCGTAATTTAACTACATGCAATTTCTACATGACTAATTTAAATAATTTAACTGTAGTTCGTAATGTATCATTTCGTAAAGGGTTTTCCATACCTTTTAAATATCTTTTAGATTTTTAATCTTCTAAAGGTCCACTTTTCTTGCCCGGCCCCGTAAAGAGGAATCCTACGTAAAACCCTAGACTTCCGCGGATCAGAATCAGGACATCATGATGCAACCCACCTCAGCCAGCCCCATAACAAGCCTCGACCCGAAAAATGCCCAAAAGGAATGATTAGCCAGCAGCGGTGACAGATAGCTGACGATGATGAAATCGATAGAAGCACCTGAATGATGTATGATGCTACGAAATCAGAATGATGCCACCTATGAGCATAATCTTAGGCCCAAAACGGTCAGCCAGATACCCAACGAACATCACCGAGATGAAACTGCTGTAGAAAGTAGATGAGAAGAGGAGGGCTTGTTGGGATGGAGACCAATCCAAGTCACCCTAAGCAAGTTCTGCGGTAGAATGTAGGATTTAGGAACTTACATCGTACCCGAGGGATACTGCAGAGATATTAGCATCCAATCGAGTACACTTGGCTTCGCTTGCCGGGGAAAATGAGGAAACAGAGGTGTTAGATGCGGTAAGGGTGGAGTTCACCTGAAAACGCCAAATTAGAGGGCTACCATACGGAATCCAAGAGAAATTCAAAGCCGCATAAGTTCTACTCGTTCAGAGAAACGACGCGTTGCTCTGATTCGGACTACGCGGCGTTCCTTTAAACCTGTTCACGATGTGCGATGGGCGCGGTTTGGTTTTAAGGAGTCCGCGCTCTTTTGCAAAGGCATTAACTTCAATACAGAGTGGCTGGGTGCGGTACGATAGGGGAGAAATGAAGTGATGCAAGGGAACGGCGCGTAGCTTTGATTTGGACTACGAGTGGCTCCTTTACACATGTTTTTGACGTGCGTGACGCGCTGGCTTGACGGTTTCTATCATTTAGCATCATCTTACCATGCACGGAATAGCCATGTTCAAATTCAGCCTCTGCGACCAGTTTGCCCATAACCCGAACGTCATCATGAAGCCGAAACGTAGCCGATATGATTTTATCGAGAAAAGCGGCATTCGCTCGACGACGTCCGCCGACATGGCTGCCTTTCGAAAATGAGGGACGGGTCAGCGGGACGGGCAGGTGTGGCTCTGATGCTGATCGTGCGATGGGGTCTGTTCACCTTTGCATAAACCCGCCCCCATCTGTCGCATCATTTCGGACTGTTGTGGTGGTCCGGTGTACAATATTATGACTTTTAAAGGTTCAGTCCGTTCGTGGTACTTACCCGGCTCATTAGGAGCCTGCTAAGCACGCAAAGTATCCGGAGTAAAACCGTGATGCCCGGGAAATTGAAATCCGACTAACATACGCTTAAAAATGTACTATACAAAATATAACGACCAAAAAACCCTCAAAAAAACGGAACGACAAAGCGGTAGCTGCACATCACCCCTTTGCTACAACCACAACGTTTTAAAAACCTTGATGGCCCCGAAAGGCCGAAAGTCACGCTTGCGATGACGGCTTATGCAAAACGCTCGAACCCGGCAGTCCATCAAGGGCCGTTTTGCCCACTCGTTGCTTCTGCCCGAGCCCGAAAGATGGATGCCATTGATCGACCTCCCTTATTCTCGATCCACTCCTTCCGGCTTCGTTTCGGACTTTTGTTGACGTTCGGCTTCTGGGCGAATTGGTCGATGAAGCAAATTTTGAGTATGGCGATACCGTGCATGGTGGGTGAAAGAGGCTTTACTAACCCTGGCGCCATCGTTTTTGATCCCTGACTGTAAGTCGCTCAAGGACAAGAAATTAAATATCTAACCTGCCAAAATGATTTCGGAATCCGACATCTATGAGGTCAGGTGAACACCACGCAGTCGATCCAAAATGCCACTTCTTCTGACCTAGACCGCTTCGAAACCGGCGCAAAATGTGGCCGAATTCTGCAAGACTCGGCGGCAGCACATGAAATGGGCTATCAAGTACGATTTCACATTTTTCTGTTTGAGAAGATCATATTCAGCACCCAATCTAATTTTAGGGCACCCTCGATTGGACCCCCTCGATGCAAGCCCTCCTCTTTTCTTCAACATTCTACAGCAGCTTCATCTCCGTGATCTTTGTCGGCTATCTGGCTGACCGTTTTGGACCGAAAATTATGCTAATTTGTAAAAAACCGAAGCCTAAAATTTATTGCCAGTTTTCAGGGGCTTCTATCGATTTTCTGATCATCAGCTACGTATCCCCATTACTTGCTAACCATTCATATTGGGTATTCTTTGCATCGAGGCTTGTGATGGGGTTGGCTGAGGTAATATAGTGCTTTTGCCGTCCCTCTAATACTTTTTAAACCTGAAAATATTGCTGTAGGGAGCTGTATTGCCATGTCTAAATTCTCTGGCTGCAAAGTGGTTTCCACCAACCGAAAAATCAACGATGGCAGCGATTTACACTTCGGGGATCCAGGTGGGGGACAGACTTTGCCATTCTTACGACTTACGATTCACTTGAATTTTCTAACAATTTTTTGAGTTCAATAGTTATTTTTAAGTAAGATTTCAGCTCTCCTCGGCGCTCTCCGCTCCTATTGGCGCATTCTTATGCCGAACCCAGATTGGCTGGCCGTCAATTTTCTACTTTTTCGGTTGGAGATGCCCTAGAGCCTTTTTCATAGTGAATTTTAGCAACGGCGGGTCTTGTTTGGGTGATACTCGGACTGATTTTTGTCACCAATTCCCCCTCCAAGAACAAGTTCGTCTCCGAGCGGGAGAAGAAGTACTTGGAGTTGCATGTTGGGAATAACGCGAAATTGGGGGTAGCACTTTTCAAGTTCGTCTATCACTCGTTCTCTCGTTCTCTCTATCTCTCTCGCTCTCTGTCTCGCCCGCTCTCTCTCTCTCTCTCTCTCTCTCTCGCTCATTCTCTTGCTCGCTCTCTCTCTTTCACTCACTCTCACTCTCACCCCCTCTCGCTCTCTCTCTTTCCTCGCCGCCGCCCCCTCTTCCTCACTCTCCCTCATTCCCTTCCGCTCTCCGCTCCTCCCTACGCCTGTCCTCTCTCGCTCTATGTCTGACTCTTCTGGTTTCAGAAAAACGCCAAACTACCTTGGAAAAAATTATTATGCTCAAAGGAAGTGATAGCCCTCTACGTATGTAGTCTATCAGCAAATTTCATCGCCACCATGATGCAATCATTCGTCCCGATGTATCTGATGGAGATGCTTGCTTTACCAATCCATTTGGTATAATCGGTTTTAATGCCTCTTAAAGGGATAGTTCAGCTTTGGAGTCTGGGCAGTGCCTTGGGTGACTATCGACGTAGGGGCGACACAGGCCAGCAGGCAGGCCTTCCTGCGTCGATAGTCACCCAAGGTACTACGCAAGCTCCAACGCTGAACTATCCCTTTAAAGGATGCCCAACCTTTTGCGGCCAAAAACCAGCCGGGGGGGGGGACCGGACCCCGTTTGGCCGACTGGATTATACATTAGGCCGTGGCTTAGGGGGGGGGGGGATTCTGTGCGCGGACCCATTGCCGCACAAAAATTTTTGGACCATAACTATTAATTGCCGCCAAAACCTTGGGTATCCCTTTAGCCCAAATATTACAGAATGGTGCCTACACCATGGTGCCCTTTTGCTCTCAACTACTCTCAAAAAATACAATGAGCCCGCTTGCCGATTATTTGAAGCGTCGCGGCCACAATCCGACAAAGCTGGGAAAGATCTTTCACGGAATAAGTAAGATTCTCAGTTATTGACCCTCTTAATTTTAGTTTAGGCTGTTTTGGCTCTGGAACTTTTGTAATCCTCCTCGGCTTAATACCAAATTGCGACAAGCCAATGCTGGCGATCCCATTTTTGATGGGTTACGGTAGAATCGGTGCCCCCAGCTGTCTATCTTACTTTAGGCCTCTGCTTCTCGTGCTGCATCCCTGGATATTTTACCTCCTTGATCTCCGTGGCTCCGAAGTACACCGGCACGTTGTCATCGATTAGTAGGCTTAAAAGCTTTACAGAAATGGTTTTTTTGTCGTCAGGTGCAATTCCGGGGACGGTCGGAAGCCTTTGCGGACCGCTGCTGTTGTCGCTGATTAATTATTGGGTATGACTACCACTTTTTATAGATTTCTTTAACAACGACCTTTCCAGCAACTGCCGCATAAGTGGTTGATACTGTTTGGGTGTTCAGCTTGCGCACAGTTCATTGCTGGAACGATATTTTTGAGCTGGGGCACGGGTTGGCTTTTTAACGTGGAGAAAGATCGTGGGAGAGAAATCGCGAGAGATAGAGAGAGTGCGAGAGAGAGCGAGAGACAGAGAGATAGAAGGCGAAACGGAGAGAAACAGAGGGATACAGAGATCCGAGACACGCGTCTTCAAAGGTCTGGTCCAACTGATTTTCGGCGCAGGACAATGTTAGGCGATAGTAGCTGTTGTACTATCTCTCACGTTGTCACTCCCTTTCTCACTCGGTCTCTCTCACTCTCCTCTCGCTCTCCAAAAAAGTCACTGATTTAGCGGAGGTCCTTCCATGGGCTCGACCTGATCCCGTTAAGCCGATTCCCCATCTTCGAGGCTTCCAGGAAGAAGTCAAAATACCACAGACTGAAAAATAAATACTCTTTCTGACTCGAAACTACACACGTCTTTCTAAAAAGCACAATAGTCACACCGCGCCAGGGTTCACCACTACTAAAAAGGCTAGGGACACGCAATCACTTATGCAAAACGGGTGGCTGGTGAACCCGGGGGGGGGGATGGCTCGCCCTGACTGTAAAGTGTTTTTACTCAAGTTGGAGTTTCGATTCGGGACCAAGTCCATCTTGTGCAGAATTTTTTGATGGTACCGAATCCGTTTTCCAAATTTGCGGCGGGCTTTTATTTAAAAAGTCATTTTTGGTGCAAATTAAAAGGCCGTTTGCGAGAGACCCGAACAATGCTTGGAACAGTTTTTTTCGCCCCCGTTTTTTTGACGGCATCTGAAAGAGCATGGTCAAATTAGTAGGGTTGCACAGTTTTGAAAGTTTAAAAAAAAGTTTTAAAGTTTTTTGGGGTTAAAATTGGAGTCAAAGTGGCCGACCCTCAAAAATTATCTCCAAAACTACTGTACCAAATTGGCTAAAAATTGGTGACAATACCTAATTGGGGATGGGGATCATTTCTCTAATACATCGTAAAGCACGAAAATGAGCGGAACACCGGAATCTCGCGTACCCAAAACAGTAATTTTGGATTTTCTATTTTACGGGTTTCCGAGGGTAACTTCTTTTTACTATAGAAAGATGCACCAGAAAATTCTGCGTTGAATGATGTATTTTTCATTTTACCCTCCGGTTCCCTAGTTCCGCTATAAAGCATTTACTGCGCGCAAAACAGCCTCCAGACTAGGCCAAAAACCTCAAAACTGGCAGATTTCGAATTTGAAAATATCAAATCGTATCTAGAGAACGAGCTGAATCCATTGCAAAAAAGAGCAAAAAGAAATAACGTTTTTGAAGGGGGGCTGAGATTGAACTCGCGCGACCCCTGGATTGGTAGGCGAGCACTCATGCAATCCACCACGGCCCCAGAGAGGGCTTCCAGGCGAAGGGTCCGAGTTCGATTCCTTCCGGATCTCAGCCCCCCTTCAAAAACGTTATTTCTTTTTGCTCTTTTTTGCAATGGATTCAGCTCGTTCTCTAGATACGATTTGATATTTTCAAATTCGAAATCTGCCAGTTTTGAGGTTTTTGGCCTAGTCTGGAGGCTGTTTTGCGCGCAGTAAATGCTTTATAGCGGAACTAGGGAACCGGAGGGTAAAATGAAAAATACATCATTCAACGCAGAATTTTCTGGTGCATCTTTCTATAGTAAAAAGAAGTTACCCTCGGAAACCCGTAAAATAGAAAATCCAAAATTACTGTTTTGGGTACGCGAGATTCCGGTGTTCCGCTCATTTTCGTGCTTTACGATGTATTAGAGAAATGCTCCCCATCCCAAATTAGGTATTGTCACCAATTTTTAGCCAATTTGGTACAGTAGTTTT